GTTTTAATTAAAATTTTCTATCTAATAAAGATAATAAAAGATAATTTTTATATAATATTTTTATCAAAAAAATGACACATTTCAAATAAATTTAGACTTATTTTATAAATTTATATTGATGTGAAATAAAGTGGATGTAAATAATTATTAATATCAATTTGATGTCTTCTTGTTTTTTAAATTTATTAAAAAAATATAATTTGATTATGAAAATAATAATATAGAATAAAATGTGTTTGTGATATTTTTGAAATAAATATGGTGATTTTATAATTTTGTGTAACATAATCAATTTGTTAATATTTTTATAAATCAATTAATCATTTTGAGTTCAAAATAATTTAATAATAAAATATATCAATCAACTTAAATTATTAATAAAAAATTGACTGTCAAATAAATTTTGCAAATTTAAAGATTATTTTAAACAAAGGATGATTGTTATTGAAAATAAAATTAGACAAGTTATAAATTAAAGATTATAATGAAATATCAGTGGATCAGTTATTTAGAAATTGCTGTGAAATGCAAAACATATTTTTAAATCAAAAGAATAGTCTAAATAGTAAATTTTATACTGATGTTAGAAAATTTCTATTGATCAATATGAAGTGAATACTTTTTTAATCAGAATCATTTAAAATGTTAATAAATTTAAACCAAATAAAAGTTATTTAGAAAAAAAGTAATTTGTTAAGAGAAACTAATAAATATCCTATCATTTTAGAGACATCATAACTGTTGGAAGTTTCATCTACATTCACTTGTTCCACTTCTTGTTTTAGAGTCTTCTCTGACTCGTTAAAACACATATTAAGATTATTATTTCTACTCATTTTATTATAGAGTTTTTCGATCAAAAGTCGAATCTTTGCAACCATCTATAAAATCTTTGCGATCAACTGTAGAACCTTTGCGATCAACTGTAGAATAAAAAAATTTTTTAAAGAATATTTTTATTGGTTTGCAACCAACTGTAGAACCTTTGCAATCAACTATAGAATCTTCGCAATCAAGTGTAGAATCTTTGCAATCAATTGTAGAGAAAAAGAATTTAAAAAAAAAAATTTAGCCCTTATGGTGACTTTAGAAAATAAACAAAGTCAAGTTAGGAGAAAACAAATGACTCCTGAAGACAGGGAAAGAATTGTTTCAAAGGTTCTTGCTGGTTTGTCTATAAAAGACATCTCTGTCGCATTGGACATGAACTATAAAACAGTTTGGAAAATTGCAACCAATTTTCTAAAAACTGGTGATGTTCATGCAAAACCATGTGGCGGAGACAGGCGTTCAAAGTTAACACTTGAACAAAAAAACAATATTTGCCTGGCTAGACACAGACTGCCTGCAAAAGCTTAAGGATTTAGCTACCAGAGTAACTGAATCATTCGGTATTAATGTCTCTTTAAGCACAATTGATCGTTGTCTTAGAGAGTTTCATTATACCCTTAAGCGAATCACAATAGTACCTGAGCGTAAAAATTGTGATCGTACAATTGAGCAAAGGCTTGTGTATGCAGGTAAGTTTAGAGAACTAGAGGAGCAATACGAGCATAAAAACCTCGTATTTTTAGATGAGGTTGGGTTTGCCGTTTCAACACGAACAAACCAAGGACGCTCATTCATGGGTACATCAGCTTATGTAAGTGTCCCTGCAGCAAAAACAATAAATATTTTTGTTTTTGCTGCTATGAATAAATGTGGTATGTTATATCATAAAATTCATGACAGGGTTATCAATGGTGAAACCTTTAAAACCTGTCTTCAGGAGCTGAAAGCAATATGTAATGTTAATGGCATTGATACCCCTGTATTTATTCTGGATAATGCCAGAATTCACCATTATTCAGGGCTAGCTGAAACAATCTGCCATTTAGGGTTAGAACTGGTTTCTTTACCCCCTTACTCCCCATTCCTAAATCCAATTGAGAATTGCTTTTCTGTTTGGAAAAATTTCGTTGTAAGGGGTGCTGCAACATCTGAACCAGAGCTCAAAAATTTAATTGAATCAAGATTTAATGAGGTTTCATCACAAAGTTCTGATGCATTTTACATGAAGATGCTTAGATATGTTAATCGTTCAGCTGAAGGTGAGATTATTTTAGAATAAATTCTATTGATATCTTTTTTATTTTTTTAAACTTCTACATTTGATTGCAAAGATTCTATAGTTGATTGCAAAGGTTCTACAGTTGGTTGCAAAGGTTCTACAGTTGGTTGCAAAGATTCGACTTTTGATCGAAAAACTCTATAAATTGGTGCCCCTGTAAATTTTATGTTTTCACCTCACAGCAATAACTTTATAAGTTATAACAATTTCATTTGATTTATATTAGTTCATGGCAATTTAATTTATTAAAACTATTAGTTTGTTTATAAATAATAAAATATTACCTCTTATTTTTATATATTTAACTTCATACCCCTTTTTAGATAACAATAATTATTCAAACCTTGACAAGCATCTTAATGATTTATTAAAAGTAATTTAGTTTAAATAATATTTTATCAATAAATTTTTTTAATCTAACTTTAATGAAAATTTTACCCATAAAAATGGCGAATTTAAAAGACTATGAAATTCAAAATAATGACAAAAATAACATTACTTATACTAATAAGAAATCAAAATTAATTAGAACAGAAAATTCGATTGATGATAATAAGCTTAAAATAATAACAAACAAGAAAGTTGATAAAGACTCGATAGATGTTATACTTGATAACAAATCAATAGAAAATTTTGAAGAAAGTGAAGAAAAAAGCTCTTGGGGAATTGTAAGAAGTGATGGTACATTTAGGACTGATTCTTTGCCACAAACCTCGGAAACAGTGTTTAATCCAGTCAGATCAAAACCACGAGCTCAAATTCCGTTTACAAAGGAAGAGCAAACTTATTTAATAGGAAAAGTAGAAGAATATGGAGATTGTTGGAAGTTTATTTTAAATTTTGGATTAAAAGAAAAAGTCTTTCATCCAGAAAGAAGAACAATTGATTTGAAACATAAAATTGAATTAATCCGAAAGAATGCTTCTTATCATAGGGCAGTTCTTAAAACATGGGATTTGATATCAATAAATGGAGAGCAAATTTTTGATAATGAAAATAAAAGGTACAACACATTAAAAAAGTTTCCTGCAATTGCTGTTAAAAGATTTGTAACATTAACAGTATTAGATCATTTAAATAGATATATAATGACAGTGGCAGATAAATGTAATTTATCTGTAACTCATAGTTATAGAGTGGATGTTATTGAAGCTAAAAAAGGCAAAAAATATGTAATAAGAAAAGTTAAAAATGGATAATAAGATTTATTTTTAATTAAAATTTATCAAACTTTCAATGTATTTGTTATTTAAATTTTTTTAATTAAAAATTATTTTTTGTAAAAGAAGGAATAGTTTAAAGTTGATGTATTTTATAAACAAATAAATCAGGTTATAAATAAAAGTTCTTAATAAATCAATCATTTTATTTTTTGTATATTTTTGAGATCATTTAATATAAAAGATCAATTATTTAAATACTATAGAAGAAACTTCACTATTATAAACTTTGTATTTTTTTATCAAAAACATGTTGTATTATTTATAACAATTATAAATTAAACATATTTAATTATATACAATGGTGTTTAAAAAAAAGTCGGGTATTTTTTGAAAGAAAACATTAAAAAAATATATTATAGGTTAAATTTATATAATTATTTTACTTTTAAACAAATAAAGTCAATTTAATGTGAGAAATAAATCAAAAAATATATCAAAAAAATTATACTTTAAATC